CTGGCTCTGAAAGAGCCATCATTGCACCATGATGTGATATCTATGTGATGCTACCTGGGTTCTTGGTAATATCCTAGCTCATTGTATTGTTTCAGTTTCCAGTTGCATTGCATGAATAATCCCAGTGTCCATGGACAAAGACTTTTAAGACCCCTAATACAGTTCAGCAAGAATACCTGCAGAATCATTTTGGCCAAGATGAAAGGGATAGATTCTATGAACATTACCTGAATCCCTATTTTTGCCTCTATTGCTGCAAGCATTAAATACACAGTGTCTGTCTCTGAGGATATTGAAGATGAGATGTTCTTCACTGTTATGATCATTTATCACCAACCTGGTTATTAGCAAGCTTCTGTCATCCATTATTTCTTACCTGAGCACCTGTAACAAAACATTACTGACAAGAAGAATTGGAGGCACTCTCATGCTTAGCTACGAAAAAGAGGTCAGATGTCCTATTGTGGGGTTTTGACCCACAGCAGCACTGACCTGGATATCAGCAATGCTAACCTAACAACATTTTCATATCACTGATATGTCTTAACCTGTCTCAGACAAAGACATCAGGAAAATGCTGTGTGGCACACATGTTTCCCAAGGTCATTGTGTCTTACAGGATCCAGCTACTACTTGGAGACTTTCAGTTTTCAGAGGATAAGCATTGTAAGATAACTCTTTTCTCTTGAGAGTATATCTTCTAAGTTTCCCCCATCCCCAAATGTATGATGGGCCACATTATTATGATGCACCACATTATAAGTACCTGCATCACTCTTTTGGCTCTAAAATTAGTGGCTTCAAATACACATTAGTTGGTGGCAAGGATATAATATTAGGCCAAATAATGTTATTTTAGACAGATGCATTTTTTCACCACATCAGGTAAAACAGAAATATGTTATGACCTAAAACATTCCTTAGGTGCTCATCTAAGAATAAGAAGGTCTTTTTTAGGTATTAGGGGGTTGAACTCAGGGTCTTCACTTGCTAGTAGTTGCTAGGCCACTGGAGCCATGTACCCAGGCCTTTGTGCTTTCGTTATTTTGGAATAAGTTGAGTTTGGAAGTTAATAACCTGGCAGCCTGGGCAGCAATAAACCTATTTACATTTCCCATCACTGAGTAACAGGTCCATGCCACCATGCCCATCTGTTGGTTGAAATCAGAACTTGAGGACATTTGCCCAGGCTGAGTGGGGAGTGTAATCCTGCAGATCTCTGCCACCCAAGTAGCTGAAATCATAGCCATGAGCCTCTATTCTGGCCAAGGGGATCTTAACGATTGAATGCTACCCATCAAACCTGTACACTACCCCAGACCTTACAAAAATATGGAAGCAAGTAATGGCAAGACATTTTCAGGTAAACCTCCTCACCTAACTGGACATTTAAGATCAGTATCTACATTGTCACATAGCAGATTGTAATTATGTTGGAATTACCAACACTGCAACAACAATCCTTTAAGGGTCATAGGTACTTGTGAAGGGAATGTGAAAAAGAAAACATATGAATCTGTATTTCAGGAAATAGCGTTCTCTACCAGGACACCTAACCCTTTTCATTGCCACAACCATTATTATGGGCCAATAAACTCTACCTAGACTGTGGAGAAATCAGAGTTAACAGAATTTCAGGAGTGCCCATCTGTCTAAACTGGAAAATTCTTAATCTTCCTCCAGCATTTACAGGTGAACAACAATGACATAATCCAGTATGCTATAAATTCTTCAGTATTCTCAGGTTCAACACAAATGTTTTTGCCATAGAAAAAGTACAAAGGCATATTTATTAAAACTGCTAAAGCATCATGATTCCTTACTTCAGCATATGCAACAAAGAAAAAAGGGGTAAGGAAAACTCTCATTCCTTAATTTGTAAATAATGAAATATGTCTTGTGCTGTGATTTAGGATCATATCAGCATTTATATATATGGAGAAATTTTACTCTTAAAGATCTCCAAGTCACTGTTGGGACCTGATCTGCCACTGAAAAATGGATCATGCAAAATCAATTTGAAACATGTCTGATTTATTCTTTACAGTTTAAAATTCCAAAGATCATTTTATGATTTTTTAGGATCTTTCTACACCACCATATTTGCAGAAGTCCATGGACATAACCTTTTAAGAGAACTGTTATTTTTTGAGAGGAAACTTGTTAAAATTCCTTATCAATATCAAAGTGATGGACACAGTGAAATTACATGAACCCTCTTACACCTCTATGATTATGAGCATTAAATTCATATAGTCTCTCAGCAAGCATACAACAAAATGTGATGCTTCCTAGAAATGCTAGGGAGATAAAGAGTATGAGAATCATGCCTAGTCAATATTTTGGAAGAAATAGAATTGTGTTCAAACAATTTTTTAATAAGAAGATATCTAATGACTGAATGTGGTGTCACCTCACACTTGTACAGAAGCCAAAATGGTAACAGGAAACTGCAAAAAAAACCATGATGACAACAGGTTAGGCACACTGTTCTCCCCTTTCTGGATATTAAAGATGGGATGTTCACCACTATGGTACCATCAGTTTATCAGTCACTTATTTTTTAGCTAGCTTCTGTTAATAATATTTCATGGGTTTAATTTCTCTTATACAAAGGATGAAACTGCTCTTTAAGAATACCTGCAAAGTGAGATCCACAAAGTCATTGTTAAGGGATGTGGAAGTTCTACCTATATACTTTAATTAACAAGAAATCAATGTCATCAGCAGAAAAGGCCAAGTTTTTGTGTTTGCACACCTACAAAAAATGCTCTGCCTATTGCTCTGATAGAGGACCATATCAATGCTGTGGTACCATGATATAATCTTCCCTCATCATCACGAGTTTAACCTAAAATTTTCTACCTCATAAAGTGTTTAAAACTTTGGTCACTATAATTTCCTAAGGACATTGGTAGTTTTGAGTTGAACCATTTCATCAAAAATTGGTTGACAGAAGGGTTCAGGCCACAGTGGTCACTTTACCTATGCTTTTGAAGGGCAGATGTTCTATGCTATGGCTTAGACCCACCTCAGCATGTACCTGAATATGATCATGTCCACATAATGACTTATTAACTCACTGGACATGTTTTGGCTTGTCTGAAAAATACAAAATGACAAACCAATTTGGTTCTTATTGAACCAACTTGGTAATATCCTAGGTCATTTTGCCATGCCAGGATCCAATTACACTACCAATTAACAGCAAACATCCATAGAAAAAGACTGGTTAAGAGTCTCTATTACTGTTTTGAGAGATACCTGCACAACTTCCTTTGTCAAGTAGCCTGGGATTGATGTTATGAAAAGTAGCTAGATTCTTCTTTAAGCCTCCATTATTGCAAATGTTAATGTAGGTGATATCTGGAGGGGCAATAAAATCTAA